ATATATATATATATATATATATATATATATATATATATATATATATATATATATATATATAATCAAAAGAGAAGATATAGGAACAAATTTACTTGCCTGAAATTCCAGCCAGCTGTTATTCTGACTTTCTCCATCTTTGTTATCTTCACCATTTGCAAAGTTATGTTTGTCATTGTACATAACCAAGTCAGCCCGTGAGAAGCCATCATGTGCACATTTGAAGTTTATATTGTTCCATGGTTCAATAAGAATGATAAAAAAGAAGATAATAAACAGATTAGGGAAGAGGGATACCTGGCGTAGATTAGGGCTCCATAGTCCCATGCTTCAGCTAATAAATTTTTTACAGGCTAATAAATTTAATAACTTATTGAAAAGAAATAACACTTATTTAAGAAAATAAATGAGCCAAAAAAAAGACGTTTCTATTCCATTCTGAGCAAAAAAATAGACCTTTCCATTCCATATACATTATTGTATCAAAAAGGCTGAAATTTCAGTCTGAATTTATGATTCTATATGGGTTTATAATTGTAACTGTTGGTTGTTGAGATGAAACGTTTTTAACAATATAACATATAATTTAAAATAGCAATTGAAGGTGTTTCGACATCATGAATAGTTGTAGAAAATTGAAAAGAAAGCTTACCACAGGTTTCCGAATCTTGATTACCCACTTCTCGTTGCTGTTGACATTTATGCCCTAAAAAACTTCACTGTACTTTCCCCTTCCAACATTTCAAACAACCTCGTAGTCATCCATATCATTGAAAACCAACATAAAAGTAAGATGCTTGCCTTTATACGGTTTCTTAGTTCGGAAGTGGTGTAAACAGGGGTGCAAAACCAATCGGCTTATTCTAGATTTAGGTTTCTAACAAGGCTTGATAACAGGAATTTGTGCATGTAAATTTCAGTCTTTTTGTAAAATTTTCTTCTTGTATTTACTTGGAAGCTCATAAACAAACACTTTTAACCTTCCAACTGGATCACCTTCCAATACATCCCCTGCACTACCTACATTACACAACCTCAACTAATGAAGTCAAGACTTCAATCCATGATTTCCTTACAGTTTTATACCAGATGAAGTTTGCGAGTTTAATTTTATATAACAAAGAAAAAGTTAGATATTAGCTTGATTACCAGGAATTCAGGGGCGGAACACCGACATTATGATTAGGGGGGCCAACTTCAAACTTCAACATAAATAAATATAAAAAATTTTGCTTTACGTTTATAATGTATCATAATTATAATGTTTGTATCTTTTAGTAATAACATAAAAAAATTAAGCGAAAACAAGTAACAATTTTTTTTCAAACAACTAATTCTCGTTTCATATATAAAACTTATTTCAATGATTATCACATTTAAAATGAATATATGTATACGAATAACGTATATGTTTTATGTTTTCTAACTGTTTACAGATTACTTTTATGTATTTAATAAAAAAATAAAATAAAATAACAAGAGAATAGTTATAAGATTGTATAGCTATCATCCATATTCACACACTTCCCCATTAAGTGAAACAAATAAAGAGAAATGGAGTGAGTGAAAGAGATAAAAAAAAGTACCTTATTAACATGCTTCCCCTTTGGTATATCTTACTTCGGCAGATAGGATAGCAGCAGCCGGCAAGTGTACAACGGAATGTGAGCGGTTTTCGGCGAGGCGACGACCAGAAGGGAGGGGAGGTAGAGCTTACAGAGGCGGAAAATGTGCGATGACTGGCAGAGAGAGATAGAGAGCAAGAAAAGGCGACAATATGAAGACGGGAGCGGTGGTGAAGACGCAGTTGGGCTGCTGCGTTATTTCCGGTGAGATTAGGTGTTTTTTTTCCGGCGACCCGAATAGATTTTCTGGGTTTTTTGTCTTCTTAAGCACAAATTAGCTTGTGTTAAAAACTTGTGTAAATTTGATTAGATTTTTGTTCTTTTATAGATTTTATGAGATATTTTCCTAATGAAACAAGATTTATTTTGATCTTTCCAGTGATTTTCGGAATTTTGTTGCTTGGTTTGGTTGCTTGATTATTTAAACTCTAAATTAATAACAGATCTAAAAATCAGGGGCCAATTTAATGATTATTGGTTTAATTTCATAATTAAACGATATATATAGGAGTATTACTGTATTAGAAGTCTCAAAACCGGGGAGGCCAAGGCCCCCTAGCCCCCATTACGTTCCGCCACTGCCAGGAAGTAAGAATCATTCGGACAGAGAGTGATTTCAATCAGAAAAATCAAGTGATTCTCATGAAGTTCGATCATAAATGTTTCTAATTTGATAAGATAAAACACAAAGGTAAGAACTCACATCCGAGCCCCGAGCTTTGGCGAATTGGATCCTATTGACAGACCATGGGAATGCAAGAAGTTGGAGATGCGGAGAACAGTGGTCGGCAGAGTAAGTCAACGACTTTTGTTGAGGAGTTTTGAGATAAAGATAGAGCATGGCTTGTAAACCAAAACATACCTTAATCGTACCAAGGGCTTGTAAACTTAAGCAGTCGTTGAAGTCTTCGGTGAGGTGAGGTAAGCCCGAGGTCACCGGTGGGAAGAGATGAGTCGAGGTCGCCAAAGAGATGAGCCAAGGTTGCCGGTGGAAAGAGATGAGTTGCGGTCGCCAACAGGAGGTGAGGTGAGGTAGCGAATGTTACAGAGAGCACTCCTTGAAAAATCCCTAGATAATGGTCCCTGTAATTTTGTGATAAGATAAATAGTTCGGACGCACATTTATTTTAAAAAGGGTTTTTCTATAACTACCCCCTCTTTTTCCAATGTCACCCCCTAATTTGATCTTTTGTCTTTTTGTTGTTTTTTTTTTTGTTTTTTTTTCCTATTTTGTTTTTTAGTTGTTTTTAATTCTTTTTTAATTTATATTATTATTATTATTATTATTATTATTATTATTATTGTTATAAATTTCGCATAAAATTTTAAAATTCGGACGACATTTTTTTTTGTTTTTAATTCTTTTTTAATTTATATTATTATTATTATTATTATTATTATTATTGTTATAAATTTCGCATAAAATTTTAAAATTCGGCCGACATTATAAATTCAAACGGCTATATAAAATCAGTTTTTAAATAATTTTTTATATTTTAATATTAATATTATTACTATTATTATTATTATAAACTTCAAACAACATTTTATAAATCGGACATTATAAATTCGAACGACTATATAAAATCGGAACAAAAGCAAAGTTTGTCCCTATTAATTACGGATATTAATTTGTACGGTATTACAATTGCGTGGTGCGTTATACGGATTGAAAACATTTAGTCGAGCACTATACAATGTTTCCCATGCAGCCGAATGTTCTGATCTGTATGTACGGAGAAGCCTGGACAAAACATCAAGCGTTGGATATGCTCCTTGTAAATCAACCATTACATAATGGTTAGGGTGAATGTGGGCGATAACGACATATGTAGGGTTTGGTATGTCTTGCGGGCCATATCGATGTGGGAACCATGTTGAAGAACCTTGTTTGCTTAGATAAATAACGATAACACCGTATCTGTTAGCAATGAGTATAGTAGTGTCAGGCATAATCAACCAATACTCTGATACCGAAAAACCCGATCTAGAGTAATTCCACGAGTGACTTATGCGGTTTAAAAAATGAACATCATCATAAATCATAGCGTACTCTTGATAGTGTGATAATAACTCTTTGTATAGATCGTACCTAATTTGAAGCCAATCATGTTCACTACGACCAAGAGCAACTGCCATAGACCGAAATCCACAATTTCCATCTCCTTTGACATTTGTGATGTTCCTGACGTATGGATGAAATTGATGTGGAATTTCATTCATAAGTGGGATTGAAGTATAAGATGGTTGATCTTGGTTAAAGTATGAATTAGACATCGAATGTTCGCGAAACGAGTACGTGTTATGCCTCTCTGGTTCCCGATTTAAGTCAAGGTCACTAGTATCCATATTATCTGTTCTATTCGTAGAAAAACTACGTCTACGAGTATTGGTAGGGATGGGTGTTGGTATAGGTGGGGTGTTGTGGCCTACATTTTTGGACTTTTGTTTGCTCAATCGTGGACGCCCACGAGTATTTTTATGAACATCCGAATAAACAAGTAATTTTTTAGCATTTTATTATACAAATTAATATATTAAAGAAAATAGTACCTGGATCAACAACTGTAGTTGTTGATGGTGAAAATATGTCCCACAATATTCTGACATAACTATGTTTCCGTTCATTTGACTGTTCAACGTAGCTTTCTTTTAATAATTCCACACCTTCTTTGAAACGAAAATGAATATCATCATTAACTTTGACATTGATTAAATCAAGCTTACGTCAAAATTTATCAATAGACGATAATGGTATTGGTTGGTCCGCACATGAGTAAATTGCAATTTCGTAGGCATAAGGTAACCCACAACTACGACGCAATTGGCAACCACAATCGTCCTCAGTTATTTGATGTGCGTCAGGTCAGTCCAACTCTTGTCTAATTTTTTCCAATGCATGGTGTGAAACATTTCCACACAAACCTTTAAAATGGGGTATGTTGTACCGACGCATCAACTTAGTTCGGTTTGTTTCTAAAATATCTTTTATCGCTGTGTGTTGCGATTCCACTACCTTTTCTATTCGATAAATTTTTTTATCTAAGGTAGCATGTTGTGTCAGCAAGAATTTTTTCAACTTCGCGTGTTGGCTCTCAACTCTATTGTTAGTGTGGTTGTGAAAGTTTAAAACTTGGTTAATCCAAGCAGATACAAATTTGTAACAACGTAATTTTTCAAAACAATTTTTTTTCATTTAAAAACATACATTCATTCACACGATAATCA